CTAGTTAGTTAACATATAGTGTAATATTGTTTTCAGGAGGAGAATTTAGTGGTTAATCACTTACATCTAACACCCAGTGCTCATCCCAACAAGTGTCCTCGTTAGGGTTTTTTCAGGTTTATGATTGAGTTTCCTAGAGTAGCACGTGGGATTGTTTCCATAGTTCTCTCAGCCAGCTAACTCTGTTCCTAGCTAATTTCTTCCCTAGACTGCAATCTCATTGAGGGCAGGAATATGTCTTACTCATCTCTCTGTCACTCGGGGCACCTGGTCCACACCTTCTCACACAGTGGATATATCACAGGTATTTGTTGATTAGCAGATTTCATCGTTCTCTTTTTTCAGGTGGCAGGGAAGAGTTTCCTACTCTACCCCAACTTCTCGTGTTACTCTGGGAACTCATCCACTCCTTTTCTGGGGAGCCCAGATTACAACAGGGCAGAAGCAAGATGTGTGCCCCACAGGCCACTGCAGAAGACACAAGACTATTTGGGGCTCCCTTTCGATTTTGAACAGGCTGAGAAGAAAAACCCAGCCAAAGAAAGACTGTTCCTGGTCAGAATCATACCTTTTATGCCTCCACTCTGTTTGGGCAAAGCTGTGTTGGAGAACTTAAAGAGGACTAGTGTGTGCGTGAAAAAGGAAGTGATAATTGGTATGTCTGGAGTCTGTGATGAAAGGCACTTTCTCAAAGTGATCTAAGGGAAACATATGGGTTTTTTTTTTTTCCACTGTACTGTATGATGTCATGTCAGTTCTCACACTGCTTGTCTCAGGTTTTTGTCTCTTGTAGGAGGCCAGCCCTGCTGTGCTGAGTTGGCCTCCAATCTGCTGCATGGCTCAGCCTGAAGAGCCGGTGGGAGCCTGCCTCTTGGAATACACACACAGGACAGGCTTAAGGGAGAAAACTCATTTCTGGGGGAGCATCTATTCTGTCACTGCCTGGACTTAGACAAGTGTCAAAAATTGCTGTTCCCCAATGAGTTGTTAAAAAAAAAAGATCTCTAGTGGCTTCTCCTATGGTTGGGCTAACTGCAGTGTATCAGCATGAATTTTCAGATCCCTTAACCAAGTTTCCCAGTATTCTAACTACAGTCCTTATCTCTATTGTCTCTGTCTTCTGTTTTCTGTATCCAGTTGCCTACTGCCATCATAAAGCATAATACCATCTCCTGAAGTTCATGCAGCCCAGAGTTTTGTCTCCTACATGGGGAATGAGCAAGGGACATTTGGGGTGAGCCATAAAGATCTGTTTAACTTAAACGTAATAAGGTTAGGGTTGCAACACATTTGTTAGAGCTTCCTTTAATAAACCACAGTGGGGGAAGTGTTCCTATATTTATTTAATCCCATTTGAATCTACTTGTATTTCCCGTGTGTGCAGGTACATCTGTCATTCATTCAGAGGCAGTAAAGTACAGAAATGGAGGACTTTGGCTCCAGGATCAGGTGCATCTACGTTGAAGTTCCAGCCTCAATGCTCATTAGTTGTGTCATTACAGTTAGTTACTTAGCCTTGAAGAGCCAGTTTCCTCATCTATAAAATGGGTATAATAGTTTTGAGGTGATCAAATGAGACAATATATGCAGAGTACTTAACCTAGTGCCTGGTATGTGAAAGGCCCTCAACAAACAGTGGCTATTTTTATCTGTTCAATCAAAAGAAACGGGTATTGGGTATCTGCTGGGCTCAGCATGTTGTAGGTAGCCATAAAGAGTTTATAGTCATGGCTGGTGGAGGCAGGGGGTAAAACACTTTCAAAGGTAGAAAGTAATAAAGGACAGAAAGATCACGAAAGGGAAAAGACTTTCAGGACAGGATAATCTAAGAGTTGGGTCTTGTGGGATATGAAGGATATGGAGTTGAGTGGAGATGAAGCAACCAGCATTCTGAAGAAAGGGAGCAAACCCTGAGAGAATTATTGAACAGGAATGGTGAGAACGTGTTAGCGTGCAGTTAGGCTTGCGTATACATAGAGTTGGATAGAGGTGGGAGGCCAGACAAAAAAAAAAAAAAAAAAAAAAAAAAAAAAGGATCAGAATAGGAACGGGGTGCATGTTGATTGGAAATGCCATGCTAAAGGCCTCACCTTCCTTTGATGGGCCATTCAAAGCTTTTAAGGAAGAAGAGGTAAAAAACTCCTGTGATTTGCTATCTACTATATGAAGTGTTATTTTTCCTCCAGTTGTCTTACAAAATTGTTTTTTATTGATGATCTCTCAGATTTCTGGAGCACTGTGAATACAGGAAATTCTGAACATTGGTATGGTTTAATTGTGATGTCCTGGCTGAGAGAGAGAGACTAGTCTTAATTCCAGTGAAGACCAGAGAGAATAAAGATTTAAAGTGGGCTATTCTAGTCTACTTCTTTTTTACCTTGCAAATACTGACAGGACCAAAACTCTTACCAGATTTGATCTGGAATGGGGCAAATGACCAACTCTCTTGTCTGGATGGTGTCCCAATGGTGAACTTCCAAATGCTGACATTTGCATGCAAATGTTGTGAAGGTTGTCTTTTTATTATTTTTTAGTATTATGTATCAGTGATATCTACCAGAACGATGGCTCTAGTTATGGGGTTTAACTACATCCCAAATCCTTTTTCACCTTCATTACTGCAGTTTCCTCTTAAGATACTTTGATGTTTATTTATTTTTGAGAGACAGAGAGAGACAGAGTTTAAGTGGGAAAGGGGCCTAGAGTGAGAGGGAGACACAGAATCCAAAGCAGACTCCAGACTCTGAGCTGTCAGCACAGAGCCTGTCGTGGGGCTTGAACTCACAAACTGTGAGATCATGAACCTGAGCTGATAGTCAGATGCTTAACCAATTGAGCCATCCAGGCGCCCTGTCCTCTTAAGATACTTTGAAGCAAAAGAGTGCCTCTGCTCTTGGGTGCATAAACCCTTGTTGGTGAACATGATGAGAAACATTACCAGATAAAGGATTAGGCAGGCAGAGACTGCATTTCATTTTGAGTTTTTTTTTCTCCCCATATCATATTGGCTTTAGCTAAATTGATTACAACTCAGGGAGTGTGGGTTTGGAATAGATACAGTTGCATAAAATTGATTGCTTTTCTTCCGATGTTGACTTTTCCTCCTGTATGAGTGAGTCACTTGAATTTGCAAGGTGTACTAATTTTACTTCTTTCCAGCCTAATGGGGTATCTGCAGCTAGAGGACAAAGGACAAGAGCTTACCAGAAAGGGGACAAAGAGGGGATGAGACAGCTTCAAAGGAGGGAGGTTACAAAGCCTCCTTCTTTGACCCTCTCCCCACTGTGGTCCAGGTTAATTTGCATATCAGTGACGACTTAATACTACTAAAGGTTTTATGTAACTTTTAAGCTTCTCAAATGTTCATTACTTTTGTTATCCTAGTGGAAATCCTGCAATCACCAGTATTATTTTTAGTCCTAAAATGAGGTAAGGAGGCCTGGGGGTGTTTATGTAAGGAGGAAGAGGGTAGGGCCCCAGTTCAGGAACTTGCCTACTTACTGTCCTGGGAGAATCTGGCAGAGAGGGGTAAGTCATGGTAGCTGAGAAAGAAAGAGCAAAAAGGGTGAGTAGGGGGGTTGTGGGGGCCAAGTATTGAACTGTGCCTGTGTAGGGTAACTGGCATGAGGGCAGCATTTTCTGACCTAGGGAGGTAAAAGCGTCGTCATTGGCACTAAGTCGGTGACCCATAGCAGGAGCACGTCACCACCTTCCCACCCCCAGAGACCCCAGTTTATCTGCCCCCCTCCACCCTACTGTTCTCGGAGTCGGCAGCCCCGGTCCAGGAAGCAGGCAGCGAGGCTCTTAGAACCAGGCTAGGTCCCTTCTCTGAAAGCGCTGCACCCAGAGAGGGGCGGGAACTCCTTAATCGTCCTCTCCCGGGGACCCACGCGCCGCCCCGCAGCATGCCGCGGGAGCTGTCCGCTGTTCTGAACTCTTTCTCCGGCTTGGCCGGATTTGCGGCTCTCCTGGCGCGCCGCAGTCTAAGGGAAGGGCTCAGTGGGTCCCGGGAAGGGCAAAGGCCGGAAGGTCTGCGGCAAGCTCCATCCAGGCTTTACGTTTTATTTTATTTTTTAATTTTATTTTCAGGCTCTAAAATTTAAATCTCCGCAGGAACCTTCTACCCACTCTAGTCCAGACTCTAAGCAGGATCCAGCTCTTAAGGACCTCTTCACATCCTGTGGTGTTGCTCAATCCCTCACTCCACTTCTTCCCCTGCGCCTTCGCTGTTGAAACTACACCAGGTCGTAGCTCCCGCGAGCCTAGCGCTAGACGCCGCTCCTCTCTCCTCGTCCACTTCACCCTCCTCCAGAGCAGGACTCTCCCCAGGCGCAGCAAGCTCCTGCAGTCAAGATTCTCCCTCGTGCCTCGGACCCAGGTTTGTCGGCGCCTCCTTCCTTTTCTGTTTCCACCCGCTCCACTGTCCTTCTCTCTAGTTGTCTAAGCACCGAGTCGGGTGGTGCGCGCTCCGCCCCCATTTTCCATACAAGGGAGCGCTGGAGGGGGGGCGGGGCGGAGGGGAGGCGCTCCCAGTCCCTCTCAAAAACTGCGAGCCCACTGGGAACTCCTGAATCCGTTCAGCTCCCGCGGAGAAGCGAGAAGCCTGCATTGCCGTCGTGGGCTGAGGACAGCTAGGGGACAGCCGGGATTCGGCCCCTCCCTCCCCGTAGCGTTTTCCCGCCCGCCCAGCCCCACTCGCCAGGTAGGACCATGCTCCAGGGTCTGACCTGCGTGGACCGCGAAGGCTCTAAATTGAGTAGGAGGCGTTTAAATAATCTGTACATATGTGACCTAGCATAGATTTATTTTTACATGGGGTATGACCGCACTTTTGATTGTTGTTGTTGATTTATTTTGGCCAGTTATTCTAAAGGGAGTATTTGGGTAATTGAGGTGGAGGAGGGAGGCACGAATGGTGTAGGAGGGGGTGGATGGACAATGGGAGGGGGTGGATGGACAATGGGAAGTGACAGACTTTGATTCTCTTTGGACAGGTGGCTATGGCCTCACTGCCGACTCAGGGTCCCCCGGTCCCTGACTTAGTTTCTGGGTTGCCACCGGCGGCCTCAACTCCTGCCAACCAGAGCACAGAGGCCTCGGCGGACAATGGGTCGGTGACTGGCCCAGGCGCTCAGGCTGTCACGCCTTTCCAAAGCCTGCAGCTGGTGCATCAGCTGAAAGGGCTGATCGTGCTGCTCTACAGCATCGTGGTGGTCGTGGGGCTGGTGGGCAACTGCCTGCTGGTGTTGGTGATCGCGCGAGTGCGTCGGTTGCACAACGTGACCAACTTCCTCATCGGCAACCTGGCCTTGTCCGACGTGCTCATGTGCACCGCCTGTGTGCCGCTCACGCTGGCCTACGCTTTCGAGCCACGCGGCTGGGTGTTCGGCGGCGGCCTGTGCCACCTTGTCTTCTTCCTGCAGCCCGTCACCGTCTACGTGTCGGTGTTCACTCTCACCACCATCGCGGTGGACCGCTACGTCGTGCTCGTGCACCCGCTGCGCAGGCGCATCTCGCTGCGCCTCAGCGCCTATGCGGTGCTGGCCATCTGGGCGCTGTCCGCGGTGCTGGCGCTGCCGGCCGCCATGCACACGTACCACGTCGAGCTCAAGCCGCACCGTGTGCGCCTCTGCGAGGAATTCTGGGGGTCTCAGGAGCGCCAGCGCCAGCTCTATGCTTGGGGGCTGCTTCTCGTCACCTACCTGCTCCCCCTGCTGGTCATCCTCCTGTCTTACGTCCGGGTGTCGGTGAAGCTACGGAACCGCGTGGTGCCAGGCTGCGTGACCCAGAGCCAAGCCGACTGGGACCGTGCGCGCCGCCGCCGCACCTTCTGTCTGCTGGTGGTGGTCGTGGTGGTGTTCGCCGTGTGCTGGCTGCCGCTGCACGTCTTCAACCTGCTGCGGGACCTCGACCCGCAAGCCATCGACCCTTACGCCTTTGGGTTAGTGCAGCTGCTCTGCCACTGGCTCGCCATGAGCTCGGCTTGCTACAACCCCTTCATTTACGCCTGGCTGCACGACAGCTTCCGTGAGGAGCTGCGCAAGCTCTTGCTTGCCTGGCCCCGCAAGATCGTGCCCCACGGCCAGAGCATGACAGTCAGCGTGGTCATCTGATGCCACTGCACCGGGCCTTGGCTGGGGACCTCCATGTCCACTAGTCTCCGAGGTTGCCCACCTGAGGCCGGACTGGAGAGCTTATCCCCAGCGCCAGAGCAAATCCAATAGGTGACCAAACTTCCAGCCTAACCCTCTTGTCCAGCTGTCTTGCTTTGTCCTTGTGTCTTTGTAAAATGTTGAGTGGGCTTTGGAGGGAGTCTTGTGCTTTGCTTGAAAGAGGCCAAGGAGAGGTGAGAGGATTTATTATTTCCTCCCTATGCCCTGAATGCCAAACAAAGCTCTTTCTCCTGGTTCATAACAGTATTTCAGAACCGTGGCTGTCTTCCTCGCTTTCCCTTCTGCTTGCTCAATGGTGAGATGAAGGAACAATGGGGTTGGGATTTCAAATGGCTGTGTTGGGGTTGGTGAGGCTTTTTCCAGTTGCCTTTTAAAAAGGACTCAACTGAGCTAGAATACCTGATTTTGCTTAGTCAGTTTGAACCCATTAATTCCTAGGATTCCAGGGAAGTATTACAAGTCTGTATCTGGGATTTCAGCATTTCCTGAATAAGATCATTACACACCAAAAGGGTTTTACTTTTATAGCAAGATCTTCTGAAAGGTGGTTCCTAAGTGTTTTCCCTCCTCCTTGTCACCTAACTTCTATCTGAAAATGATAAGATGAATTAGTCACTGAAGAGATAAATAGGGATAAAGAAGAAAAGGTCCAGATCACTTAAGGAGGCATATAACTGAGGACAGACATCTATCTGGGTGTATGTTTGTGTATACACACCCAGTGTTTGCTACAAGGCAGGAACACAGATATTTGATTTTCTGAATACTCAATGTAAACCATGTTCGATAGCATTCTCTAATTGCTCAGTTGCAACAGATCAACAGCTGTCATCTGATTGCTCAGCACCTGCTCTGTGGTGACACACTTGGAACACAATCAACCCAGGATACAAGGATGGGGAGACATTTACTTAAGGCCAGAACAGAAAAATAAACTGCCACCAGACCACCATCAAATACTTAATTTTTTCCAGGGTTAGAGGGACAAGTGAAGACTGTTGGGCCATGATACCAGGCTGATAACCCTCATCTTAGCCTCCTGAGGATTCTGTAAATGAGGACAAGTACCCTGGACAAGGATCTTCACGTTGATGTTGGAGCAGTGACTGGACAGTGAGGGTGGGAGTTTTGTGAAGTGATATGTGCTATCCACCTGCCAGATCAGCCCCCGTGGCATATAGGACAGGAACTAGTGCAGGAACTGCAGCAACTCCGTTATCATCTCTAAGACTCCAGTACTGCCCTAGCTCACTATACAGTAGAATCAAGCTCTCTCCTTATCTTACTCTCTGAAATGGGCTCATTCATTCATTAAAGTGTGCCCTGAAAGGAAGGGAAAGAGGAGAAAGGCTTGGGGATGACAAGGATTAAGTCCCATTACTCCAATGCCAGCAGCCGTGATGGAAGAGTAAGTATTTATGATTGAGTTAGTTAGCAATATGAGTCTTTAGTAGTTATGTGGCTAGACCTTTCCCAGCATGGGGGAAGGCAGGAAAAGTCTGGCTTGGGAGAAGGGATAGGCAGGTTAAACTTGGGAGATGCAGGTTACCTTTAGCAATGGCACAAATACTTTCAGCTTCATCTATGGATGTGGAGAACAAAGCCTATGTCACTCCCTGTTCCACATGAACTCATTCCCCAGGCATCCCAGAGACTGGCTCCTGTGGTTCACAGCTCCATTACTTGGGAGGCTCAAGGCCAAACAGGCATTTCATGTTTCCTCAGAGCATTCTTTTGATGGGAATGCATCTAGAATGGAGGGGATGGGGGAAAGGATGGGATTCATTGGGGAGGGATCTGGTTAATTGTACTTCCTTTTTTAAAAAAAATCTTCAAATTTATTTATTTATTTATTTTGAGAGAAATACAGTGAGCAGGGGAGGGACAGAGAGAGAAAATCCCCAGCAGGCTCCACACTGTCAGTGCAGAGCCCAACGTGGGGCTCGAACTCACAAACTGAGATCATGACCTGAGCTGAAACCACGTGTCAGATGCTTAACTGACTGAGCCACCCAGGCACCCCCACTTAATTGTACTTTCTTTGTTGGAATGTTTAAATCACTGTTCTCAGCCTTGGCTGCTCCTAGAATCAGTTGGAGAGCTTCCAAAAAACACCAGTGCTGAGACCCTATCCCCAGAGAGTCCAATTGATTAGAGATGGAGCCTGGGCATCAGCATTTTTTCAAAGCACTTCAGGTGACTTTAATGTGCATCCAAGGTTAAGCCCCTTAAGAATTGTTGTCTTTCTAATGAATCTCAGAAACATCTGAATGAAGCTTTGATTGTACCTGCCAAAGGTATTAAAAATTTGGAGTTGAATTCTGACAGGGCGTCCTATGCTACAGATGGGGAATAATACTCCTCTACCTTTCAGACAGTATCCAATGAATCACACAGAGGCAAATCCTTATAATAAGAATATATAAGTATTCATTCAGGTTTCCTTACAAATCTCCTATATGTAAGGCAGTGAGTGTATGCGTCCAGTTTTTTTTAAGTCTCATGATTCAACTCTAGATCATTTGCATTATAAATTTATACACCATGAATTATTCCAAATCCTGGTTTCCAGGGTGTTAAAAAAAATTGAAGTGTTCTCTGATTAGCTTGATGTAAGTCTACACCAACTGTGAGAAGAAAGTGTCCTCATTAATTACTAGAAAAGCTGCCACCTGTTCCTATGCCTACAACTTAAGTTAAAAACTTTAACATTTACATGGACTTTATGGAGAGCCTAAAGAGGCTGGAGAATTATGCCGTGTTTATAAACATCTTTACACAATATCCAAATTGGCTACTGAATAGCAACTAATTAATTCTTACCCTATCTGGAATCTATTTGGGACTAGTTTGACTATAAAGCAAACTGACTTTTTAGAAAATCTCTCAGGAGGCACCTGGGTGGCTCAGCTGGTGAAACGTCTGACTTCAGTTCAGGTCATGATCTCATGGCTTGTGAGTTCTAGCCCTGCGTCGGGCTCTGTGCTGACCGCTCAGAGACTGGAGCCTGCTTTGGATTCTGTATCTCCCTCTCTCTCTGACCCTCCGCTGCTCGCATTCTGTCTCTTTCTCTCAAAAATAAACATTAAAAAGTGAAAAAAAAAAAAACACTCTCAGAAGTGAGTCCTATAGAAATCCACTTAGCGTTGAAGTAGAAAATTTTATTTGATATAACTTAGTCAATACCACGCATCCAGTCCTCCTCCTGCAAGGAATCATACAGGCCATAAAGCTGGGAGCAGAGGCAGCTGGCTACTTAGCAGCAGCCCATTCTGAGGCTGATGGGAGGTTCTGTAATTCTCTTTGCAAGCATTGTCACCGGGCCTCACTTTTGGCAGCCCATCAATAGATTTATCTCACTTGATTTAGTGGGGAGTGTTTCAATATGCATTGGCAACGGTCACCTGGAAATAGCAACTGTGAGAGATGCTAAGGTAACAATATCCCGATTGATGTAACCTTCCTGAATTTTTGTTCTTGTGGATCATCAGCCTGTTCTACTGGTGGTGCTAAGTTCCAGGTTTCTCGGGTTGGCTAGTTAACCTATCTCTGTCCTGTGGCTTGCATGTCTGAACATTTAGTAGTCTTGCAAATGCAAGGCATGGGGCTGACATCAAGGGGACCCAGGCAAGGGTACAGCTAGATCTGAGAGCAAACCCAGGGTCTATCCCCCACCGACAAGCGGCCAGGAGCACCTTTGTTCCCCAAAGCAGATCTTCCATGGATTTCCCTCCATTTGCTGATGTCTTTGTTAAGACAGCTTAACAAGCTGATGCGTAAGACGCATGTGTGACTGACTTACTGTATGAAGCTCTTCAGTCTGGGGCTTGCACTGTGTTTGATACATTGTGGGTGCTCAATAAATATCAAATTAGTACCATCTCCAGTTACATAACCTCGGGATGGCCAGGGTCACAGTGAAAATAAATCACGTCAAGGAAAACACACTACTCAATCCAGATTTGTCAATTCTAGCTAATTCCAGGAATGAACTGTTCATTTGGGGCCTTCTGTGACCCCTTGGTCCAAATCTCAGTAATGACAGCATTTTAATCCATGGCACCAAGCTCTCTGCTCTCCAAAACTGCATGTGCCTAAGTTGACAGGTCTATCAAAGGGAGAGTAGAGAATTTCATGATTCATTTCTATATTCATCATTAATCTGGATCATTAAAGGTTAACATTTTATTATCCACTGACACATATCACTTCGGAAATTTAAAAACACCCAACGCATGGGTCTGTAAGTCAAATTTGATCACCCAGATTCCAAAATGTTCATGACAGAGTCATGAAGATGATTTTCTGACACTTCTAAAATAAGACTTAAAAATGCATTTATGGACACCTTTCCAGTGATCCATTTATTTTGCAAAGTGAGATAAACTCTAAACAGATGTTGGACGTGTGAAATATTTCTTTGGATGGATGGGTGTTGCAGACTTGATATGTTGAAAGACTGCATTCTCAGTCTTTGCAAGTAGAAAGCCTTGTTTTGAAAATTGAGTGCTCGTATTTTTAACAGATTTCTTATCTTTTCCCCCTGCTTTCCAACTCAATTCTTCTTCATTTCCTGCTCTTTATTTCTCTATTCAGCCCCTTTTCTGCTATTTCCCCATATTAACTATAATATACCTCTGATCTGAAGCTCTCTCCACTCCCGTGGAGAGCAGGTGGTGGGATTCAAGCATCCACCTTCCGGTGGGTTGGTGGGTTCGTATAAGGTGAATCACGTGGGAGAGATACTCTGGGTAATTCTGTTGCAGACGCTTCATCACATCAGCAGAGGGTTGCTCATTACATTTCCTGCCCACTGTGGGGTCTTGGAGCTCACACAATTGATCGTTTCTCAGATAAGCTCCAGGCAGACGTGGACAACAGGATTTTGCACAGGATCTCCAGCTGGGCCCTTAATGTGGTAAATCTCACAGAGAGCTCTC